AACAAGAGCCAGCTTCAGCAGGGCGGATGGATGCGCTGTATTGACTCAAATCTAGTGCGCCGTCCAATCTAATGCGCACCTCCATTTTCAAAGTCCGGAAGCCAAAGAAAACCTATTTGCTGCCAAATGCAATGCGCACCAACAGAAAGTGCGCTCTTTGTAATTCAGCCCCAAAAGTTGTGCATTACAGTTGCAGCCTGCTTTGGATTTCTCCTTTGAAAACATAAGTGTTAGAGCACCAAAACTTCCAGCAATGGAAAGGAAAAACTTGGGGTGCATCTATGCTGCAGAATGAGTCCCTTTCAATTGCCTTGGTACAATGGTATGGAATCACAGGGACTGTAATTTGACAAGATCGCAAGCTTTTTCCACCAAAAAATGCTGATGCCTCACCAAACTACAAATAATAATAATAATAATAATAATAATAATAATAATAATAATCCTTTATTTATACCTCGCTACCATCTCCCAAAGGACTCGGTGCAACTTACAAGAGGCCGAGCCCAAATACAATAGTAAAACAACAGCAGCAACAGACAGCAAAATAACTCCGAAAACAAAGCAATCCCAAGATTTCATAGTTGTAAATTGCACGTAACCTATAGAATCCTAGAATCCTAGAGTTGGAAGAGACCTCATGGGCCATCCAGTCCAACCCCCTGCCAAGAAGCAGGAATATTGCATTCAAATCACCCCTGACAGATGGCCATCCAGCCTCTGTCCAAAAGCTTCCAAAGAAGGAGCCTCCACCACACTCCGGGGCAGAGAGTTCCACTGCTGAACAGCTCTCACAGTCAGGAAGTTCTTCCTCATGTTCAGGTGGAATCTCCTCTCTTGTCGTTTGAAGCCATTGTTCCATTGTGTCCTACTCTCCAGGGAAGCAGAAAGGAAGCTTGCTCCATCCTCTCTCTGACTTCCTCTCACATACTTATACATGGCTATCAAGCTAGAATGTGTCCAGAAGAGGGCGACTAAAATGTATTTCCTTCCTTTTTTCCTCTCTTCCTTCCTTCTTTCTTTCCCTACCTACTTTTTTCTTTCTTTCCTTCCCTCCTTCTTTTTTTCCTTCTTTCCTTTCTTAATTCCTTCCATCTTTAATTCCTTCCTTTTTCTTTCCCTTCTTCCTTCCTTTTTTACTTCCTTCCTTCTTTTTCCTCCCTACCTTCTTTACCTCCCTACTTTTTTCTTTCCTTGCTTCTTTCCTTCCCACCTTCTTTCTTTTTTCCCCTTCTTTCCTTCCATAATTCCTTCCTTCTTTAATTTTTTCCTTCTTTCCTCCTTTTTTCCTTTCCTTCCCTCTTTCCTTCCTTTTTTCTTCCTTCTTTCTTTCCCTTCTTCTTTCTTTCCTTTTTTCTTTTTCCTCCCTACTTTTTCTTTCTTTCTTTCCTTCCTTCTTTCCTTCCCTCCTTCTTTTTTCCCTTCTTCCCTTCCATAATTCCATCTTTAATTCCTTCCTTCTTTCCTCCTTTTTTCCTACTTCCTTCTTTCTACCCCTTCTTCCTTCTTCCCTCCCTTTCTTCCTTCTTTTTCCTTCCTTCCTTCTTTCCTTACTTTTTTCTCTTTCCTTCCTTCTTTCCTTCTTTCTTTTCTTCCTTAATTCCTTCCATCTTTAATTCCTTGCTTCTTTCCTCCTTTTTTCCTTCTTTCATGCCTTTCTTTTTTCTTTCTTTCCCTCCTTCTTTCTTTTTTCCTTCTTTCCTTCCATAATTCCTTTCTTCCATCTTTCCTTCCTTCTTTCCCTCCCTACTTTTTTCTTTTCTTCCTTCCTTCCTTCCTTCTTTTTTTCCTTCTTCCCTTCCTTAATTTCTTCTATCTTTAATTCGTTCCTTTTTTCCTTCCCTCTTTCCTTCCCTCCTTCTTTCTTTATTTCCCTTCTTCCTTCTTTTTCCTTCCTTCCCTCCTTCCTTTTTTACTTTTTCCCTTCCTTCATTCCTTCCATCTTTAATTCTTTCCTTTTTTTCCTTCTTTCATTCCTTTTTCTTTCTTTCCATTCTTCCTTCTTTTTCCTTCCTTCCTTCTTTCCCTCCCTACTTTTTCTTTCTTTTCGTCCTCCTTTCTTTTTCCTTCTTTTCTTTCCTTTCCTAATTCCTTCCTTCCTTCTTTCCTTCCATAATTCCTTCCATCTTTAATTCCTTCCTGCTTTCCTCCTTTTTTYCTTCTTTCCTTCCTTTTTTCTCWTTCCCTTCTTCCTTCTTTTTCCTTCCTCCCTCCCTACTTTTTTCTTTCCTTCCATAATTCCTTCCATCTTTAATTCCTTCTTGCTTTCCTCCTTTTTTTCCTTCTTTCATTCCTTACTTTTCTTCCTTTCTTTTTCCTTTCTTTCCCTTCTTCCTTTTTTCTTTCCTTCCTTCTTTTCCTCCCTACTTTTTTCTTTCTTTCCTTCCTTCTTTCCTTCCTTCCTGCCTTCTTTCTTTTTTCCTTCTTTCCTTTCTTAATTCCTTCCATCTTTAATTCCTTCCTTTTTCTTTCCCTTCTTCCTTCCTTTTTTACTTCCTTCCTTCTTTTTCCTCCCTACCTTCTTTACCTCCCTACTTTTTTCTCCCCTTCCTTAATTCCTTCCATCTTTAATTCCTTCCTTTTTTCCTTCTTTCATTCCTTCCTTTTTATTTCTTTCCCTTCTTCCTTCTTTCATTCCTTCCTTTTTTTCCCTTCCTTTCCCTTCTTCCTTCTTTTTCCTTCCTTCTTTCCCTCCCTACTTTTTTCTTTCTTTCTTTCCTTCCTTCCTTTTTTCTTCCTTCTTTCCCTCCCTCCTTTCCTTCCTTCTAGGGTCAATGCGCTGACGTCACGGGGGTGGGCGTGGCCTCCCTTCCCCTGCCTGGCGTGCCTCTCCCAAGATGGCGCCGGCGGGCGGATGCGGCGAGCGAGCGAGCGAGAGAGAGAGAGAGCGTCAGAGCGTCAGAGCGTCGGCGTCGCGGGTGACGTCACGTGTGGGCTGATCTGGGCCTGCGAGCGGGAGGCGGGCAGGGCGGAGTACGGGCGCCGCCGAGGGACACGCGGGAGCCGCGCGGGCGTTTTCCTCCTGCTTCTCCTTGCTGCTTCTCCTGCTCCTCAGTCATTGAGAGGGAAGGAAGGGCAGGAGGGGGCCATGGCCGGCTACGAGTACGTGAGCGCCGAGCAGCTGGCCGGCTTCGACAAGTACAAGGTGAGCACAACTGCAGGGGAGGCACCACTCCACCACCCATCATCCCCAGGCAGCAAGGGAGAGGTGAACTACAACTCCCATCCTCCCCCCTTCCATCTGGCCTCACTCCTTCCCTTTGACCTTGCTGCTGCCGCCTGGGACTACACCTCCCATCACTCTCCCTCATTCCCATCTGGGCTGCGCCTCCCATGCTCCACAGCATGAGGACTACAACTCCCAGCATCCTCACCCACCAGATCTGCTTCTCACTGCAGCTCCCATCCTCCACACATTGCCACAACTGCTGCCTAGGACTACACCTCCCATCCTCCTCCTTCATTCACTCCCATCCCTTCTGGACTACACCTCCCATGCTCCACATCAAAGCCTTACTTCTGCCTAGGACTACACCTCCCATCACCCTCCGCGATTCCCTTCCCGACTACATCTCCCATTTTCCACATCAAAGCCCTAGGAAGGACTACATCTCTCATCATCCTCTTTCACTCACTCCCTTCTGGACTACACCTCCCATGCTCCACATCAAAGCCCTAGGTGAGGACTACAGCTCTCATCCTCCTCCTTCATTCACTCCCATCCCTTCTGGACTACACCTCCCATGCTCCACATCAAAGCCCTAGGTGAGGACTATAACTCCCATCATCTTCACCCACTTCATGTGTGTCTCACTGCAGCTCCCATCCTCCCCACTTTGCCTTACTGCTGCCTAGGACGACACCTCCCATCACCCTCCACAACTCCCTTCCCGACTATATCTCTCATGTTCCACATCAAAGCGCTAGGCGAGGACTACACCTCCCATCCTCCAACCTTCACTCACTCCCATCCCTTCTGGACTACACCTCCCATGCTCCACATCAAAGCCCTAGGTGAGGACTATAACTCCCATCATCTTCATTCACTCCCATCCCTTCTGGACTACACCTCCCATGCTCCACATCAAAGCCTTACTTCTGCCTAGGACTACACCTCCCATCACCCTCCGCGATTCCCTTCCCGACTACATCTCCCATTTTCCACATCAAAGCCCTAGGAAGGACTACACCTCTCATCATCCTCTTTCACTCACTCCCTTCTGGACTACACCTCCCATGCTCCACATCAAAGCCCTAGGTGAGGACTACAGCTCTCATCCTCCTCCTTCATTCACTCCCATCCCTTCTGGACTACACCTCCCATGCTCCACATCAAAGCCCTAGGTGAGGACTATAACTCCCATCATCTTCACCCACTTCATGTGTGTCTCACTGCAGCTCCCATCCTCCCCACTTTGCCTTACTGCTGCCTAGGACGACACCTCCCATCACCCTCCACAACTCCCTTCCCGACTATATCTCTCATGTTCCACATCAAAGCGCTAGGCGAGGACTACACCTCCCATCCTCCAACCTTCACTCACTCCCATCCCTTCTGGACTACACCTCCCATGCTCCACATCAAAGCCCTAGGTGATGACTATAACTCCCATCTTTCTCACCCACCTGATGTATATCCCACTGCAGCTCCCATCCTCCCCACTTTGCCTCAATGCTGCCTAGGACTACACCTCCCATCCCCCTCCACAACTCCCTTCCCAACTACATCTCCCATGTTCCACATCAAAGCCCTAGGTGAGGACTACACCTCCCATCCTCCAACCTTCACTCACTCCCATCCCTTCTGGACTACACTTCCCATGCTCCACATCAAAGCCCTAGGTGAGGACTACACCTCCCATCCTCCTCCTTCACTTACTCCCATCCCTTCTGGATTACATCTCCCATGCTCCTCATCAAAGCCCTAGGCAAGGACTATAACTCCCATCATCCTCACCCACCTCATGTATATCTCACTGGAGCTCTCATCCTTCCCCACTTTGCCTTACTGCTGCCTAGGACGACACCTCCCATCCTCCTTCATTCACTCCCATCCCCTCTGGACTACACCTCCCATGCTCCACATCAAAGCGCTAGGCAAGGACTACAACTCCCATCATCCCCACCCACCTCATGTATATCTCACTGCAGCTCCCATCCTTCCCCACTTTGCCTTACTGCTGCCTAGAACTACACCTCCCATCACCCTCCACGACTCCCTTCCCGACTACATCTCCCATGTTCCACATTAAAGCCCTAGGCAAGGACTACACCTCCCATCATCCTCTTTCACTCACTCCCTTCTGGACTACACTTCCCATGTTCCACATCAAAGCCCTAGGGAAGGACTATAACTCCTATCGTCCTCACCCACCTCATGTATATCTCACTGCAGCTCCCATCCTCCCCACTTTGCCTTACTGCTGCCTAAGACTACACCTCCCATCACCCTCCACGACTCCTTCCCCGACTACATCTCCCATTTTCCATCAAAGCCCTAGGCGAGGACTACACCTTCCATCGTCCTCCTTCACTCACTCCCTTCTGGACTACACTTCCCATGCTCCACATCAAAGCCCTAGGCGAGGACTATAACTCCGATCATCTTCACCCACCTCATGTATATCTCACTGCAGCTCCCATCCTCCCCACTTTGCCTTACTGCTGCCTAGGACTACACCTCCCATCACCCTCCAAGACTCCCTTCCCGACTGCATCTCCCATGTTCCACATCAAAGCCCTAGGCGAGGAGTACACCTCTCACAATCCTCTTTCACTCACTCCCTTCTGGACTACACCTCCCATGCTCCACATCAAAGCCCTAGGTGAGGACTACAGCTCTCATCCTCCTCCTTCATTCACTCCCATCCCTTCTGGACTACACCTCCCATGCTCCACATCAAAGCCCTAGGTGAGGACTATAACTCCCATCATCTTCACCCACTTCATGTGTGTCTCACTGCAGCTCCCATCCTCCCCACTTTGCCTTACTGCTGCCTAGGACTACACCTCCCATCATTCACCACCACTCCCTTCCCTGACTACACCTCTCATATTCCACAGCAAAGCTCTAGGCATGGAGGACTGCATATCCCAGCACCCTCAGCTATCACTACAGTTTGCCTTGCTCCTGCTCAGGACTACAGCTCCCACCGTCCTCCCTCACTCAACCACACAGCATTACTTCCCTGTCATTGGACTATAACTCCCATGCTCCACAGCCAGCTGTACTAGCCTTACAACACTACTGAACAGCGGGTCTCAACAGGGATGATGGGTGTTGTTGTTCACCCTCCTCTATCCACCATCCGGCATAGATGAGCCACACCGCGATGCCCATCATCCCCCATCACAGAATGAAAAAGCCTGGTGAGCACAAGGTTGGCACTGGTGGCTGTGGACCATGGGAGATGTAGTCCAAGGGAATGGAAGAAAGGAAATCTGTGCAAGTCGGCTGAGGGAGGAGGAGGAGGAAGGATGGGCTTTGTAGTCCTTCACAAAAGCACATTTTCACTGTGGAATGAATGCATTTTGACAGCCCCATGGCTCAAGGCTATGAGGAATCATGGAAACTGTAGTCATTTGGTAAGGCACTTGATGACGAGACCTTATGAAACTATACCTTCCATAGTATTGGGCTTTGGTGGTTCGAACGGCGCGCAAACCGCATTGGTTCCACAGTGTGTAGATCCACACGCATGGACGCATATGTGGAAAAAAGGTCACAAGTTGGGAATTATTTATTCCGTATCAAATTATATTTATTTATTTATTTATTTACAGTATTTATATACCGCCTGGGGCAATGCCAGCTAGCTTATAGAGTTTATCAAGAGATGTAGGTTTAAGACATCCTGTGATTATTCTGCATGTTTCATTCAATGAGAGTTTATCAACAGGTGTAGGTTTAAGACACCCTGTGATTATTCTGCATGTTTCATTCAATGCCATGTTCACCTGGTTTGCAGGGAGTGGTAGTTCTCATAAAGCTTTCCCTTCATTGGTGTCTACTGGGAGGAGGCTGGTAGCCAAGCAGTGGGGGGCTTTCACAGAGTTCATCCTTATTTCTCTCACATTTAGCAGCAACTTCCCATCGCACATCATGGGAAGGGGGAGGCAATGCCAGCTAGCTTGTAGAGTTTATCAACAGGTGTAGGTTTAAGACATCCCGTGATTATTCTGCATGTTTCATTCAATGCTATGTTCACCTGGTTTGCATGGAGTGGTGGTTCTCATAAAGCTTTTCCTTGATTTGAGTCTACTGGGAGGAGGCTGGTAGCCATGTAGTGGGGGGCTTTCACAGGGTTCAACGTTATTTCTCTCACATTTAGGAGCAACTTCCCATTGCACATCGGGGGGGGGGCAATGCCAGCTAGCTTGTAGAGTTTATCAAAAGTTATAGGTTTAAGACATCCTGTGATTATTCTGCATGTTTCGTTCAATGCTATGTTCACCTGCTTTGCATGGAATGGTGGTTCTCATAAAGCTTTTCCTTGATTTGAGTCTACTGGGAGGAGGCTGGTAGCCATGCAGTGGGTGGCTTTCACAGGGTTCAACCTTATTTCTCTTACGTTTAGTAGCAACTTCCCGTCACACATCGGGTGGGGGGGGGGGGATGCCATCTAGCTTGTAGAGTCTATCAAAAGTTATAGGTTTAAGACATCCTGTGATTATTCTGCATGTTTCGTTCAATGCTATGTTCACCTGCTTTGCATGGAATGGTGGTTCTCATAAAGCTTTTCCTTGATTTGAGTCTACTGGGAGGAGGCTGGTAGCCATGCAGTGGGTGGCTTTCACAGGGTTCAACCTTATTTCTCTTACGTTTAGTAGCAACTTCCCGTCACACATCGGGTGGGGGGGGGATGCCATCTAGCTTGTAGAGTCTATCAAAAGTTATAGGTTTAAGACATCCTGTGATTATTCTGCATGTTTCGTTCAATGCTATGTTCACCTGCTTTGCATGGAATGGTGGTTCTCATAAAGCTTTTCCTTGATTTGAGTCTACTGGGAGGAGGCTGGTAGCCATGCAGTGGGTGGCTTTCACAGGGTTCAACCTTATTTCTCTTACGTTTAGTAGCAACTTCCCGTCACACATCGGGTGGGGGGGGGATGCCATCTAGCTTGTAGAGTCTATCAAAAGTTATA